GAGAGAGAGGCAGATAGACAAAGGTGAGGGATACGTAAGAATTGAAGAGTTCACCACTCCTCCATGTGTGCAGCAAATAATAATAAAAAAACCCATCATCATCATGATCATACCAGCAGGCAGTGTGGCCCAGTGTGCATGGCTTGGGTCAGCGCACACATAAAATGGGCCTCAGTCGGCCTAGCCAGGGGGTGCTCGGCGGGCGAACATTTACATACCTGGTCTACGGGATTACCATAGCTGAGCGGATAGGGTAGACCTGTGTGTTTGAGAGTCCGTTTGTTTGTCTGTCCGTGATTGAGTTCACCAGTCCGTCTGTCTGTGAGTCTATTTGTCAGTCCGCTTGTGAGTTCATCTGTTCCAGAGTGTGTCTGTTTGTCCGTTTGAAAGTGCGTTTGTCTGTCCGTTTGCGAGTCCATTTATCCGTCCGTCTGTGAACCTGTCCATCTGTTTGTCCGTCAATACAAATGTGTTCTTGTGTCTTTTTATCAATATACCCCCCCCCTTCACCAACTTCCCTTTCTACCCCCCAAAAATCACCATAATTTCCTCCCTTCCTCCACCTTTCCCTCCATCATTCGTCTCTGTTTCCATTTTTCTAGTTCTGTCACTTCTGAAGTTGCTCATTGCATATACATGTAAAAGAAAAACGTTTTTAAGACTACGGAAAGACACGTGGAAAGCCAAAAGGATAACATAATAATAATATGAACTGTTTAGTGACATATCGGAAACGGACGTTTTTTCAATAACCAAAAGAAGGACGACCACCTGTGCAGCCAGGGTCACAAACATCCAACAAAAGAACTCGGTCTTTTAAAAATAAAATAGCTTTAGCTTTAATAAGAGTTTTACTACAATTACAAAATAAAGCGGTCAAAGAAGTTCCGAAAGTGAAAACTACTACACGAGAATACGGTCGACAGCTGAAGTTTAACAGGAGAGAAGGAGCAAACCACACCAGAGCACCCGCCAACCACCCACAATCACCGAGGGACTGGCGTGGACGGTAAGTACATCATCGTGCAGCAAGAGCCATAAAACCCCAGCAAAAGAAATCGGGTCTACAAAACCCCCTGCTCAACCTGACTATGACTTGACGGTCAAACGGTGGCTCAGATGAGGGCTACATCTAGTTGATCGTTTTTAGTTTTAGTAGAGGTTTTACGGCGCTCGTAACTGCATAAGGTCATATG